AAAATGTGGAGTTTATGGGAGAGATAAAGTTAGGGATTTTGTCTTTAAATAGGAGCATATAAACACTCCTCCTATTGCAATTGACAATGATGAGGATCAGGGACAAAGTCTTGCTTCAGATCTTATTCAAGAAGCAATTTCGGATGGAGATAATATTCCAGAACCCCTTATAAACGATCAAGAGATTGTTCCAAAAGAATAAACTCAACAACCTCAAGAAAAAATGTCATCAAGGAGATCCATTAGAGAAATGAGAAATACAATTCCGATGGCTTTATAGTATTTCTCCAAGAACATTAGGATGTCATTGGATTGATGGAAGAAGATCCTATCAACTTTCATCAAGTAATGAAAAGTATTAATTTCCAAAAGTGGATTAATGTCATGGATGAGGAAATAAAGTCCATGAAAGACAATAACGTTTGAGAACTTGTAACATTGCATGAAGGCACGAAACCTATTGGTTTGCAAATGGATATATAAAATCAAGAGGGATTTGAAGGGTAATGTGAAAAGATATAAGGCTCATCTTGTTGTAAAGGACTTTATTCAAAGGGAAGGCATCAATTACAAATAGACTTTCTCTCCAATTTCAACGAAAGACTCTTTCAAGATTATAATGACACTTGTAGTACATTTTGACCTTGAGTTACATCAGATGGATGTAAAGACGGCTTTCTCAATGATGACATTGATGAGACAATATATATGGTGCAACCGAAAAACTTTGTGTCTGGAGACTGAGAGAAAATGATTTGAAAATTAAAGAAATCCATCTTTGGGCCGTCCATCGTATCACAAATTTCATCAAATAATCATCTCGTTTGGATTTGAGATGGATGTGGTTGATGATTGTGTATACCACATGTGTAGTGGGAGTAAGATATATTCCTAGTATTGTATGTCAATGATATACGACTTGTTTGCAATGATACATGCTTATTGTACGAAATCAAGAGATTTCTACCAAAGAATTTTGAGATGAAAGATCTTGATGACGCTTCTTTTGTATTAGGGATCAAATACATTGGGATCATTCTCGTGGTATTCTTGGATTATCACAAAAGAGCTATATCAATACGATACTTAAGAGATTGGGAATGCAGGATTACAAACCAGATGACACCTCTATTGCTAAGGGAGACAAGTTTAATCTCAATCAATGCCCTAAGAATGACCTTGAAGTAAGGGAGATGCAGAAAATTCCCTATGCTTTAGCAATTGGGAGTTTAATGCATGCTCATGTATGCACGCGTCTAGATATGTCATTCATTGTTGGAATGCTAGGCAAATATTTAATTAAACAAGTGATACCCTTGTTGATAAGGGAGATAAGTTTAATCTCAATCTATGCCCTAAGAATGACCTTGAAGTAAAGGAGATGCAGAAAATTTCCTATGCTTAAGCAATTGGGAGTTTAATGTATGTTCAAGTATGCACGCGTCCGAATATAGCATTCATTGTTGGAATGCTAGGTAGATATTTAAATAACCCTAGAATGGATCATTGGAAGGCATCCAAGCGGGTTATACAGTATTTACAGAGAACAAAAGATTACATGCTCACATATAGGAAATCAGACCAATCGGAGATCATTAGTTATACTAATTCTAATTTTGCTGGATGTCAAGACAATAAGAGATCCACATCGAGCTATGTTTTCTTGCTAGCCGGAGGAGCTATATCCTGGACGAGTGCTAAGCAGACACTCATAGCTTCTTCAACCATTGCAGCGGAGTTTATAGCATGTTATGAGGCATCCAATCAAAGAAAATGGCTGTAGAATTTTGTCATTGGGCTACGGATTATACGTGGAATTGAAAGACCACTTAAGCTATTTTGTGACAATAAGTTAGCAGTATTGTATTCAAATAACAGTATGAGTTCAAAAAAGTCTAAATTTATAGACATCAAATTCCTAATTGTTAAAGAGCTCATAGTTATTAGGTTACTATAGAATATATTGGGACAAACTCCATGATAGGAGATCCATTCACTATAGGTCTACCACCCAAGGTCTTTCATGAGCACACCGCTCACATGGGTGTTATAAATTTTGATGATATGCTAGTTTAGTTGGAGTTTGTAATGTTGGATGTTGCTTTCTGACACATGATTTTTGGTTGTGCACATTCAAGTTTATTTCAGTTCATTTTAATAATAAAGTATTCAGTTCAGTTTTTCACTCTGATTAAAGTTTTTTTTTTAATTTGATCTCATCAGATATTAAAGTAGAAATTAGGACTAGTTGAAAATAGACATATTTAGATCACATTGCATGTAATTTCTATGATACACATCCACACTTGATCTATGTCATTTGATTTTATTGATGTACGTGACAATTAAAGGTTTAGTTATAATACTTGTAACGAAGACCGCTTTGATCCTATATTGATATAATCAATGAATGCGATTGTTTCGAGATACTTTAAATTATAATAGCAAAATTTTTGAGCTCATAAGGTTATACCCATTTGTAACGTAACATATGTGGCCCAAGTGAGAGATTGTTGGGAAATTATTTAATTAGTCATGTGGGCGACATATGTAATTAATTGTGTATAAAGACTATCTTAAAGTTAAGCACAAAATTAAAGTGATCTAATAAATAATTAAGTAATTGGGCTTTGGATATCTAAATAAAGTGTGGGCCGGATTATATGTGTAGAGACCGAATTCATTAGGGTTTATATTTGACTATGTGCTGAATACATATAGAAACTATATATAGGGTTATGGTCTCCAATTCATATGTAATTCTCATTTTTTTTGCCATCCCATCAACACAAAAATTAATAGAGAAAACATATTGAACAGGAAGATCCAAAATCCATAATCAAGAATGAAGAATTATAATTAAAAATCAAGAAGAAAGATTTGAGCAATTTAATTGAAGAACAAGAAATTAAGATTTAAAATTCAATATTCATTATTCAAGATATAAATTAATGGATCAAGGCATGTTCTGCATTAATTAATTTTTTGATGATTTGACATGAAGATCGTGACAATTCATATTATTTCATAAAGTTTATGTTTCATGAAAAATTCCACACTTACTCCATTATTTTTTGTCAGGGAAAGTACTTCACTAGCCAGTTTTGAGCAAAGAACAATGCCAGCCCACTTCAAGTGAGTAAGGAAAAACTGTCAAGCATACATTGATACCTGCAAAATAATCACACACAAACATAAATCCAGAACGATCCCAAATGATTTGAGCTGCCCCAATTTTTACTGGAGTTCAGATTTTACAGTGTCAGCTAAATCAGATTTCATAATCAGAATAAGAAATTGTAATATGATATCATGGTTGCATTGAAAAAATAATTCAAGAAACGGGGCAGGACATATACGACCAGATGCATATATAGTAGTATTTTTTTTTTTTCAAAGATCCATGTTTAAGCTTAAAGTTTTTAGGCTCCTTAACCGTTGATGGGGAGTTTGGCACAATACCTACCCGTAGATAAGATTAATAATCAAGTGAAGTACAAAGAAGGTGACATAAGAAATTACCTTCAAAAGTAAAGATGAGCTAATGAAACATAAACTAAGAAGCACCGCTCCCCTTACAATTTTAATGCAAATAAGCATAAAGTTTTTGCAAAGATTAAACCCTGTTTGAACCCCATTATCTAAAAACTCATTTTTTTCTTGAACATATTTTTAACCACACATTCTTCCAATAAAATGATGTTGCACATAAATCCAAAACTTTTCCTTACTTTTTAATCACACATCCTTAGAAAAATCACTATTACAAAATCTATTTTCTCCCAAATATGCGCCTCAAACAGAGGCTAACTTTGGGAGAACTACTGCCACTACACCCATTACAAGATATTAGGCCCGATTCTCTTTGTCGTTTTCCAGCCATTTTCTATTTTTAATTTCTCAATACAGCGAAAACGCGTTCTCTATCTTATTTTCCAAAATGCGTTTTGAAAAATGGAAAAAAAATTATAACTGAAAACATTAAACAATGAAAACATCATTTTGTAAAATATAACCCCAAAACAGCCTAGTTCACAAAACACGCGAAATGCATGAAGGCTAAATCGATCTTCTTTCACTCAACTCTCAGTCTCGCTCTCGCTCTCCCTCTCACTCACCCACCCTGCAACTCAATCTCCAGCCGTAAACCCCCAACCAAAAACCGAAAAGCAATGCCCGTTGGCCGGGGACGAAGGTTGTAGATGGGATCTTCGAATTTTGGGGCTGCTCGTTCTGGTGTAGCCGAATCGAAGGCTGAAACGACGGGCACCTGCAATCAATTCTCATCTTCAAATCAAGGTTTGATTCTTTGCTTGTGCTAATCTTTAGTTATTTGCTTGCTATTCCATTTCTGAGTTGTTGAGTCAATTTGCCCTCTGTTTTTTTATTTGATTGGTGGGAAAATGGAGGCGGGATTGCAGGTTGATTTTGTAGGGGGAAGGGTAGGTGGACGTGGACGTGGACGTGGACGTGGAGGTGGTGCTGGAGGTGGACGTGGAGGTAGAATTGTTTGAACGGTTTCTAGAATTGTGCTGTTCACGGTTTCTGGAGGTTGAATTGTTAATAGTGAGATTGTTTGAACGATTTCTGGAGATTAGAATGGAATTGTTTGAGGTGGAATTGTTAATAGTATTTTAGAATGGCAGATTAGGTGGAGGTCGAATTGTTTGAACGTTTACTGGAGGATTAGAATGGCAGACTATTGAATTTTATGTAAAAAAAATAAATTGTTTTTGTTTGGATGAGGTTGCTTTGTAGATAATTGTTAGTATGTGTGGCCTTTCTTGATTTTGTATCAAACTATGGTAGGAGATGATGATTCGAAGCACCAAGATGATAAAGAGACGGATGGTGGAGAGGTCAGCTCTCATGCGTCTCAGGACCACCATAGCCACCAGCAACATTTCACAGAGGAGGAGGAAGATGTGGAGAAGGGGGAGCACACTTCAAATTTCGTCTTCATTGAAAGAGTAAAAAATAAGGGTGTCAACGAGTAAAAAATGGTGGTAGAAGAAGGGAGTGTTGTTCAGGTTGAAAAGGAATTGAAGCACAAGGATGAATCAGAAATGAAAAAAATTGTGGATGAATCAAATGATGAATCACATAATTTTGAAAATAATAAAGATACCAAACACAATGCTTCAGTTGATTCGGCTAAGGAAGAGGATTCATTGTCTGAGTGGTCAGCTGAGGTTATTCATGGTGCTTTGGAGGAACAGGCTGGTGATTCAGTTGTGCAAACTTGCCCTGTTGTTTACTCGGAGAAGGTTTCATTGTTGAATGGGGAAGTGCAAGTAAATATGAGTGCTCAACTTGATATTTCGGAGGCTTCTAATGTGTCCGAATCTAAATTGAAGGAAAATGGGGAGAAGTTGAAGTCTGCCGAAGAGAATGTTGTCTTTTCTGCAACTGGTGTGGATACGGCATTTGATAGGATGGCTGTGGAAGCAATTGTTCAATCAGCATCAAAATTCTAATTTTACTTTGTGGGTTATGATCTATGAGAGTTTTTAATTAGAAAAATCTGTTATGCTTTTCATCTATCTTTTGGATGTACATTGGATCTTAGATGTAACCTGCTCAAAGTTTTGGTGTTTCATGTTTATAAAAATTAAAAAAAGTCAGATATTCTTGTATTGTGGATAATTGAACTGAGAAATTCTACATACTCAAAGTAGAAGAAGCCTTATGCTTGCAACGCAGAACCAAAATCTCTTGGTTTTTAGTTAGAATGCGATAATTCCGTGACCATCTTAGTGCTGTGCCGCTTCCGAGTTCCGAATCCATGTTGGAATTATTTTTTCTTTTTTCCTGGAAAAAATGCTCTTTTTTTTGGGATTTTAAAGTTCACACAGTTTGATACTGCCTTCCTTTCAGTTTGAACTGTTTTGCCAAATATAATTTAGGTTGTATTTTTTATATCTGAATTTTTTTTTTAAGTTTCTAATTTCAAAATTTATATGTTATTTAATATTATAATAACATTAAACCATTAAAATTTATTGAATAATCAGATTTTTTGAATAAAATATTATTTAAAAAAATTCTCAAAATTTCAAAGTAAACGCGTTTTCCATTTTCATGTTTTCAAAAACAGTTTTTCAGAATGGCAAACAGAACGCACTTTCAGAAATTTCAAAACAGACAATCAAAATACAAAATACAAAACAAATTCAAAACTCAAAACATAAAACTGAAATACAATGAGAACACCACCTTAGTTTCTTAGAAGAGCACCAAGTCAAACAACTAAGCCACTGTTTCGTGCGGGTTATCGCTAACAATTAAAAAGGGGTTCAGACGATTGTGTAAGGAACAAACCTCTTGAAACAAATCCCAAAAAAGGGTGCTTTATTGGAAATAAACAGAATGCCTCCAAGGGACGCAAGCACACGAGTACTAAAAGGAGATGATTTAAAGTTAAACTAAGAAATTGAAATCATATATTCTATGTTGAGAGTGTTTGATTCAGGGTCTCTTCTCTATGTCTTCCTTTCCTTTTTATACTTTCTTGATAGTTTCTTTATGAAAAACTGCTTGAAAATTGTTTGATGCTCTATAACTACCCACTTTCTTCATGATGGCTGACTTATCATGGAACTACCATCTCTAACTATTGCCATCATTCTTGTCGTTTAACTGCCTACAACTTGGATTCTTGGATCGTGGGGTATGATAAGGTTACTCAATAACCAGTTCAATAACTGTTGCACAGGATAACCGTAATACCTTATATTCGCTCAGTTCCAAGGCGACTCGAAGGTTTGGGCGAGAACGAGATCATCGCTCTGGGGGACCGTAAGGCATTCCATTCGCTTAGATCCTGGGCATCTTGCAAGCTTGGGCGATGATGTTACTTTGTTCGTGTGCCTCCACTACATTTATCAATGGTCCTATTTGGGCTTTCATTCTGTATTTTTCAATTGGGCTTCATTCCTTGGACTATTCAATTTGGGCTACACTTTTTGTATGTCAAGAATTACCCCCCAATATGGAAGAATTAGTATCAATTATTAATCTTTGCCATATTCCTTTGTATTTTCCGGCATTATTTGAAATTCCCAAGAATTTCAATCATTATTTCCATATGGCGGTAACCCTTCTATAGTCTGAAAAGGTATAACGTTACAAGCCCCTATAAACCCAAATGACACCCCACTTCGTCGCGCCATTACCTACACGTCTTTATATCTTGCGTTCTATAAAGGTCACTGTTCATCATCTTGCTTCTTCGCTACGCCTCTCAAGAACCTTCACCAAGACTGTATTTTGTTGTAAATGGCAACTCCACAAATCCCTTCTAATAACATCCTTAGTTTCGAAGATTTCCAAACCCTCCTTACCAGGCCATATATAAACTCGACTTTTCTCTCATTAGCTAACCCAGACCTCAATGAATTCTATATGGGTCCATCGTTTAAAGACGTTGAATCTATCGAAAAAGCGGCGATGGGTCAGTTATTTCCTTGTACTCAAGATCCTCCTTTTCTGAATCCTTTTCTTTTAAAGCCAATCTGGGAATGAGGTACTCGTACTTGGCCTAAATCTGATTCTACTTTTCATTTTTGGCATGCACGTTTGGTAAAACATGGCCCCACTAAAGCGATTTTTTATCGTACTGGGATTTTGGACTTACTAGAAATTGTTCTCCATCCCCCAATCTATGATCCGATGCTTTTTCCAACTGCATTGAGTTTTTGGTCTTCCGAATACAATATTTTTGTTTTCTTCTTAGCCCAATGTCTATCACCTTGGTGATGTTGGAGCCCAAGTAAATCTCTCGCCTTTGGGCAATACAATTTATCCTGGAATTTTGGTCACTAGTACTACCCCAAAGTTTGACAAAAAACTTACTGAGTCCTATTCAGGCATGTAAGGCCTTTATACTGCTTCTAGCTCTGAGCCTTCTCACATTGAGCTGGATCTATAAATATGTCCTTTGTGCGCCTAGAATAAAACCTTCGATGAGTTATTTACCCATAGCGAATGAGCTGACACGTGGTAGATCCTTGAATCTTTATTCGTTATTCTTAGCCGCCTTTTATAGAGGCATGGTTCCTCCAATTTCAGTTGAGAACTAGTGCATCTCCCACTGGCAGTGAGCTCCTTTAGCTCGCTCAATTGTGGTTGAGGGCATACTTTACACAACTTGGTGCTCCACCATTCCTTCCACGATCGGTCAGTTGTTATGGGTCATTCATCCATCAATTGAGCTCTGTTGATATGTCCACTAGGGACGTCTTCACATTCTTTTACAATTCTCTTCCTTTGTTTTTGAAGTTGTAATCTATCGAGGACGTCCAACTTTAATTCATCCAACTCCAATAAGTTTTGGATTAATGACTCAGCATACTCACCATCGCTTAACTTATGTTGCAAACACACTCTAATTAATTGCACATTAATTTCCATAGGCAAAACAGCCTCTTGTCCATAAGTAAGTTGAAAATGAGTAACTTTGGTACTTGAACGAGGCAACGTCCTATGAGCCCATAAGGCTTTGTTTATACATTCGTGCCAATTTCTGGTATTTTCATTTATCATTTTCCTATGTTTTTTTTAGAATCTTATTAGAAGATTCTGCCTATCCATTAGATTGAGCGTAATACGGCGTGGAGTTTACTAACTTAACTCCATACTCGCTCAAGAACTCTTTCACTTCATCTCCATTCAGGGAGGTTCCTTGATCCACCATCAAAGTTTGTAGAATCTCAAATCTATAAATAATTTGATCACGGATAAAATCTATGACATTCTTCTGGATGATCTCCTTTAAAGGTATCGTTTCTACCCACTTAGTAAAGAAATATGTTGCAACTATTACAAATGTCTGTTGCTTGGACGATGTGAGATAAATCTTTTCTATTGAGTCTATCGCCCAATCCTTGAATGGCCAGGGTTTAATAATGGGTGTCATTTCTCTTGCTAGAGCTCTTTGTATCGAACCATGCTTTTGGCATGCTAAACAACTATTTGCATATTGAACACATGATTCTCCCATTTTGGGCAAGAAATATCCACTCCTAATGATCAACCATCTCATCCTTTGGCCAGCTTGATGAGCTCCACATATCCCTTCATGCACTTCAGCCATGATCGTTCTGCCTTCTTACAAATTTACACATTTTAGTAATATAACATCTGAGCGTTTGTTAAATAACTCTTCATCTATCAATGCATAATTCAACGAACACAACTTTATTTTCCTACCATTTTCCTTATTAGGTTCTTTGAAAAATCTTTTAATCTCTGATCTCCAATCTATTGCGTCTCCATCTTGTATGCAATGAACTCCAACCTTTCTCACTGTCCTTTGTACTACAGGCAATATTACTCCATATTCGTAAGTAGATTCTCAATTCAAAGCTTTTGAATAACCTGAGGCCATTTGGGCCAACTCATTTGCTATGTCATTATACATCATATTAACACACTGAAACTCTACTTGGTCAAATTCTTCCAATAATTCTTGGGCGATTTCGTATTGACTTACAATGGAATTACTTTGGCACTTAAAATCACCAATCAATTGGTGAATTACCAATTGAGAATCGCCCATAATAATCACATTCTTTATTTCCATATTTATCATCAACTCTAAGCCCACAATTAAGGCTTCGTATTCGGCTTGATGTTGGTACACATCTTATCCAAAGTGAACGCAAATTTGTAACAAATCCCTAAATGATTTATCAATGATATTCCTACCCCTGCACATTTGGAGGTTTTTGATTCCTCAAAATATAAAATCCAAGATTTTAATTCGAATGAATTGATTTCTAATTCAATATTCTCAAGCATGTCAAGGCATGGATGATCGGCCAGAAAGTTAGCCAAAGCCTGATTTTTTACTGCCTTTTGGGGTATGTATTGTATTTCAAATTTTGACAATGCTAAAGTCCAAAGGCCTACCCTTTGGTGTAAAATAGGGCAAGAAAACATATATTTAACCAAATTTACTTTAGAAATTAAATAAACGGTTACAGGCCGTAAATAGGCCATTAGTTTCGTACATGTAAAATATAAAGCAAGACATAATTTTTCAATAGCAGAATAGTTACATTCACATTTTGTTAACCGTCTACTCAAATAGCAAATCGTCATTTCTTCACCAAATTGGTCTTCTTGTGCTACCATCCTAGCTATCGATTCTTGTTCAGGCGATACACACACTTTCATTGGTCATCCTTGGATTGGTGACACCAACACTGATGGACTCGATAAATATGTCTTTAGGTTTTCAAAAGCCTTTTGATACTTTTCTTTCCAGACGAATTCATCCTCATTTTTCAGTTTTAAAATAGGCGAAAAAGCTTTTGTTCACCCAGCACAATTAGAGATAAAGTGTCTTAAAAAGTTTATTTGGCTTAGAAACATTTGCAATTCTTTTTTGTTACTATGTGGTTTGGCCTGTGAAATGGCCTCGCTTTGTTTTTATCAAGTTCAATTCCCCTTTTGTACACTAGAAAATCAAAGA